GGGGGGCACTCTAGATGAAAGACGGTAATGGGAAGCAGTGTTGGTAGTGGTTCACAGTGTGGCCTGTGGACCAGACTGCCTAGCTCAACTCCTGGGTCTGCCGCCTACTTTGAGTGTGTTCTTGGGCAAGTTACTTCACCTTAACCTTGGGTTTGCTCATCAAAGAGGGGGAAAATAGTATCTATCTCATAGGGTGATTATGATTATGGTTAAACCATCTAATATGTGAAAGTTAAGTTAGGAATCCTCTCTTTATGTTCTTTCAAGAGGTACTGATATTGAATGCATAAAAAAAGGATACTTGTATAACTTTATCCCTGGCATGTTGTTACTTGATTTCTGTCTTGGTGGTTCCAGGAAATCCTAGTATGATGTTATGTATTTTGTATCTAGAACAGAATTATAAAGTGTTTTTAGAACTTCTTTTTTACTCCTGGCTCAAGATATTCAGTAAATTTAATGTTAGCAATAAAACACAACTCTATTCTAATTCTCTTTTTAAACAGTGCTTTTAATTACCAGGGCTTTTTGTTTTCATTTTGTTTTAGGCAGTTGATGGAGGAACATTCAGATATCAAGGTGAGCATAGTAGACATGTTGAAAAGGTACTGCCAGTGATAGATTGCAGGATGTGATGTAGATAAAATGTTGTATGTTGCATATAGAGAGAATTTTAGAATTTAGAGTATGGCGTGAAATGAGACTAACATTTCACTTGTTTGGAGTTCTTGACCAGTCTCTCAATCTGAAGTGTGATAGAGATCCAGGGAGTAAGAATGAAGAGGCTTCTTGGAGATCAAAATAGCTCTGCCACTGTAGGACTTTCCTTACTAGGAGAAGCCCCTGCATCCTCTTAGCCCTTTGGGCCTTGACTTGATGACTTCATCATCTTGTTTTACATAATTGTTCTAACAGGTTTGTTAGGTTTGCCACCCCACAGATAAGTAAAAGGAAGATAAACTGCCAAGTAAAAGTGACACCACTGTAGGGAGGAAAAAACCTACAAGAAAACAGAAGTAAAAAATTCTAAAAGCACAGCAATCTCTAGTAGCCCTACTGTAGGGTTATGTTGGATAAACAGCCTAATGGGTACTTCAGGGAGCTTCTGAGGGAATGCATGATGTAATATCATTGAGGGAAGTTTAAATTATGTTTAATGTTCAAGAAAAAAAAAAGATTTTCATGTAAGGCTATTCTGAGTAGTAAATTTTTACATTTAAATAATGTATGCTCAGTTCACGTATATGAAACATATGAAATGAAGTCTTACATTTTGAAATACTTTAGTTCATACTTATTTTGATTTGTGAAATCCAGAATGCTTATTTACTAATCACCTCTTACAATAGCATTTCTTGAGCTCCCACTGGGTACAGGGTATAGTAGAAAAAGAAGACATGGTCCCTGGCCTCTAGGAACTTGCCCTCTAAGAGGAGACTGAGCCTGAAGCGAAAAGCTGTTGTAAGTTCGTGTTTCAAACTATGGAAGATTAAGATGAGCAGAATGCTGTGCACTATGGAAGACTTCTTAGAGGAGAGGTTAGTTTTGAAATGAATTCAGAAAAAAGTAGGGAAAGATACATACCTATGTATATTTTTTAAGACCCAAAACATTGGTGCTATCTCTTCAATTTACTGGTGAATTATGATACAGTTTATTCCCAAACAAACTAAAGGGTAATAGAATGTTATTAAAGCAAGCAAGGCACATTCCTCCACCACAGTCACCACTTGAGTAAAATCATGGCACAATCATTTAAAATCTTGCCAAAGGACCTTTCTGTTTTTTTCCATGCTACCTGCTACCAGACTATCACCTGGCTGGTGAAAGTTACGTCAATACTTCATCCTCATGTTCTTATTCCTTTATTTCTAGATGCCTGTGATCCACCACCAACATTTGAAGCCATGCAACTCATTGGCAAACCTAAACCCTATTATGAGGTTGGGGAAGAAGTAAAGTATCAGTGTAAACCAGCATATTTTTATATTCCTCCTATAGCCATGTATACTGTTTGTGAACTGAATCATACATGGCTACCTGTCACGGATGACGGTTGTTTTAGTAAGTAAACAAAAATTTTTTTTTCGCTTGTGCTTGAGATTTTCACACAATTTAGGGCGCATATTCCACTATTGCAATTATGATTTTCTCATGTGAAACAAGATTTTTAATAGCAATGTATTTTTTTAGGCTTTGAAAAATTTCCAGGGAATCTTTTTCCTGGTAATCGGTTGCCTGGGTAAATGTTAATCTTAGGTTTGCCCTTACAATAGGTAATAAAAAAAATAATATTCCCATGAATTCAAAAGAGCAATATAGAATTTTGATTTTGATTCAAGTCTGTTTTGAAACTGAATTAAAAAAACAAATTTCAAATTATTTTCTTTTAGGATTAACATGTAGCGTTATAAAAGATCCTGCAAATGGTAGAGCAGTCCCTGCAAATGGAACTTGGGAGTGGGGTTATCAGCTTCACTTTTCTTGTAATGAGGGGTAAGTAACTTGCTCCTCAGAGGAAATAATGTAAATGTTACTAATTCACTTTTTATTTTTCCTTCTCGAGCATTCATAAACTTGATTTAATTTTGGTTTCTATGTGACAAGTCGTACTTGTAGCCAAACAACTTTTGGGCATTTTATGGAGATAGGAAAGATGTAATAAATAGAAATTGAAATGGAAGGAAAGCAAAACTATAATGTATGCTATATCTAATAATAGCCTATTGTAAGCATTAAGAATCATGACTTTTTCTTTCACAAATTTTATGGAGATAGGAAAGATGTAATAAATAGAAATTGAAATGGAAGGAAAGCAAAACTATCATGTATGCTATATCTAATAATAGCCTATTGTAAGCATTAAGAATCATGACTTTTTCTTTCACAACCAAGTGCACCTTGTTTAAAACTGCCAACTCTTAGAATTGAAACAGGGCTCACAGAAATAGAAGGGAGAATTGCTAACCAAAGATATTCTTATATCCAGATAACTCTGTAAAGTGTTACCAGGTTGAAATTGACCTGGTCAGCCTTTACCATCATGTTGATCAAGATCACTTAGTTGGAAAAGCTTATTTTTGAGATTGCCACAAAGAGGTGAAGCAACTCAAAAAGAGGCACTGAATACTCAATAAAAGCATTTGTTCTGTAGGGTTCTTTTAATAGTTTATATTAGAGATACTGGGCATTTATGACAAAATGTGCCTCTAGAGAGTAAATTTAATTGTCTTGTCCATTTTCTGGTGCTATAACAGAATACCTGAGACTGGGTAATTTATAAAGAAAAGAACTCTATTCAGCTTATGCTTCTGGGGGCTGGGAAGTCCAATAGCATGGCAGCAGTGTCTGGCAAGGGCTTTTGTGCTGCATGATAACATGGTGGAAAGTGAAAGGGCATGTAAAAAAGGAAGAACAGGAGGGGTGGCCTCACTATATCCAGTCCCAAGAGAGCTAGAACTCACTCACTTCCTTGAGAACCCAGTGTTGTGAGAAAGGTACTAATTCCTCTTAATGATCAACCATTATACTGGCAATTAAATTTCAGCATGAGTTTTGGAGGGGACAAACCATATTCAACCCATGGCAGTAATATGCTATATAATATAGAAAAAAATGCATGAGCCTTGGGGAAAAAGTCAGCTGTGACTATGTACAGGTGGTTTCACTGATACTTTAACTTGATCAAATAAAAATATTGGGACATTCAGTTAATAGTTACATAGAGAGAGCTTGCCGGGCTCTTTGAAGAATACCAAAAGTTTAAGACATAGACTCTTCTCAAAGAAGTTGTAGACTTATTGAAAAATACAATATATACAGAGAGCTATCAAAGCAAAATTATAAATGAGAAATGTCGGATTAGGAGAATTATTCATGATAGTTACAGTGAGAGTCCAGAAGGGGGAGAGATTTCCTATGCATTTAAATCATCAGGGAAGGTTTCATTGAGTAGAGGTATTCCTGAGCTTTTCCTAGGAAGATATTCTGATCTAAATAATGTTAATGAGAGCTGAAACTCACCTAGCTAGATGCTAACTTACCTAATCCTCTAAACAACACTATGAGGTGAGCACTGTCATCCTCTCTTAATTGATGAGAGAAGCTTAAATGCCTTGCTCAAGCTCAAGTAACTAGTAAGTTGTGGAGCAGGGTCTTGAATCCAGGCAGTCCAGCTCTCTGGGGCCTGATCTCAGTGCTCATACTGAGCAGTATGGTGTGAGCAAAGTCACAGAAATGAATGTGTAATGGGATTGCAGGAGACAGCAAAGAGGCCAGACTGACAGGCACAGCAGATTTATTTAGATGTGTGTTCAAGTGGAGAAACTCTTTATTTGATTAAATTGCAGATTTATTTAGCATTTTCATTACATTTTGTTTAAGAAACCTCTTCCTCAAACTACTGCAGTGTAGACAAACAACATATAAAAATTTCCTTCATTATTATGTGAATCTTATTAACCGCTGAAGAAAATGGTAATCTTTTCTTTTCTCATGTAGTTATTATTTAATTGGTAAACAAATTCTATACTGTGAGCTTAAAGGATTACGTCCACAATGGAGTGATAAACCCCCTCGATGTGAAAGTAAGTAAATACTCTTTTTAAAATTTAGTACCTAAAGTTTTTGGCCTTAGGACCACTTTGAGCTTTTACATTAACAAGGACACCAAAGAGCTTTCCTTTATGTAAATTATATCTATTGGTATTTATCATATTGGAATTAAAACTGAGAAGTTTTTACAATAATTGTTTGTTAATTCATTTTTTAAAAATTAACTTATTAATTTTTAATTATTTGTATTTATGGGGTGCAGAGTTGACTACCAGTATTTGTGTACAGTATGTGATGATCAAATCAATATTAGCATGTTCATCATTACAAATCATAATTATTCTTTGTATCCCTTACCCAATTACTACCAAAACCCCTTTGCCACCTGTAGGTCTGTTCTCTCTTTCTGAAAGTTCAACGGTTTATTGTGGTTGGTCGGTCTCTCTCTCCCCCCCACCTCTCACTTACGAGTAAGGACATGTGGTATTTCTCTTTCCGTGTCTGGCTTATTTCACTTAACATTTTCTCCAAGCTCATCCATGTTGCTGTGAATGGCAGAATTTCATTCTTTTTTATGGCCAAGTTAGTATTCCATTTTGTATATATACTACATTTTCCTTATCCAATTGTCCATCGATGGACATTTAGGTTGGTTCCATATCTTGGCTACTGTAAACAGAGCTGCGATGAACATGGGAGTGCAGGTATCCCTTCAACATGATATTTTCCATTCTTTTGGGTATATACCCAGAAGTGGGATTGCTAGATCATGTGGTAGTTCTATCTGTAGTTTTTTGAGAAACCTCCATACTGTTTTCCATAATGGCTGTACTAATAATTTACAGTTTCATCAACAGTGTAGAAGAGTTCCCTTTTCTCCATATCCTTGTCAGATTTGTTATTCTCAGTTTTTTTGATAAGAGCCAGTCTAACTGGGATGATATGATATCTTAATGTGGTTTTGATTTGCATTTCCCTGATGATTAGTGATGATGATCATTTTTTCATGTACCTGTTGGCCATTTATATGTCTTCCTTTGAAAAAAGTCTATTCAGCTCCTTTGCCCAGTTTTTAATTGGATTATTTGGTTTTTTACTGTGAACTTGTTTGAGTTCCTTGTATATTCTGGTTATTAATCCCTTGTCAGATGTATAGTTTGCAAATGCTTTCTCCCACTCTGTAGATTGTCTTTTCACTCTGTTGATTGTTCCCTTTGCTGTGCAGAAGCTTTTTAGTTTGATATAATCCCATTTGTTTATTTTTTCTTTTGTTGCTCGTACTTTTGGGGGGCTTACTCATAAAGTCTTTACTCAGTCCTTCATACTGAACTGTTTCCCTTATGTTTTCTTCTAGGAGTTTTATAGTTCCAGGTCTTATATTTAAGACTTTAATCTTAAAGGTGATTTTAGTATATGATGAGAGGTATGGGTCTAGTTTCACTCTTCTACATATAGATATCCAGTTTTCCCAGCATCATTTACTGAAGATGCTGTCCTTCCCCCAGTGTATGTTCTTAGTGCCTTTGTCGAAGATCAGTTGGCTATCAGTATCTGGGTTGATTTCTGGGTTCTCTGTTCTGTTCCATTGATCCATGAGTCTGTTTTTATGCAAATACCTTGCTGTTTTGGTTACTATAGTTTTGTAGTATAGTTTGAAGTCAGATAGTATAATGCTTCTAGTTTTATTTATTTATTTTCTCAGGATTGCTTTAGCTATTTGGGGTCTTTTGTTGTTCCATATGAATTTTAGGATTTTTTTTTCTATTTCTGTGAAGAATGTCATTGGTATTTTGATGGGGTTTGCACTGAATCTGTAGATCGCTTTGGGTAGTATGGACAAAGTTAATTCTTCCAATCCATGAACAAGGAATGTCTTTCAATCTTTTGGTGTACTCTTTAATTTCTTTCAGCAGAATTTTGTAGTTCTCATTATAGAGATCTTTTACCTCTTCGGTTAAATTTGTTGTAGGTATTTTATTTTGGTAGCTATTGTAAATGGGCTTGCTTTCTTGATTTCTTTTTCTGCTTGCTCATTGTTGGTGTATAAAAATGCTACTGTTTTCTTCTGTACTGATTTGTATCCTGTAACTTTACTGAATTTATGAGCTCTAGGAGTTTTTTGGTAGAGGTTATTAGTTCATTTTTAAGACCAATACATTCAATGTATGTTAACATATGTAACATACATTTTGAAAAAACTAAAATTTTTCAAAAGAAAAAAATAGAATAGTAGCATTGTTTTACATTTTTGCAAACCTCTTCCATATTTGGCTTAAAGGATGACATTTAGATACAGTCTTTTGTGTTAATACACAATTTATAGCCTCTAGAAAAAATCACTATACACTTGTGAGGATAAAAGTGAAAAAAGACAGTAATATCTTGGTATTGTTGAGAACCACTGATTTAGAGAGTGAATATATTTATACATTGTAAAACATTTCTCAACTAGCACTCAGTTTTATTTTTAATCACAAGCATTTTTTTTCATTAAATTGTCAGCATTTCTTATGATGACTAGAACAAAACTTAGCATGGCTTTACAAATAAATATAGGTATTCTACACCTTAAGAAAATGAGTTTTGTTCTGAAAGTTTATTTATGCATTAATGGCTTGAATTTTGGATAATATATTTTTTCCCTCTACTAAATGGATATTGAATTTGCAACTAGCTTGTAGAAATCTTATATTGATGAATTTATTGAAGGTAGTATACAGAACTTCCTAATTCTGTGTTAATCTTTTATCTTTTCTTTTGCCTTTTACTTCCTTATTTTCCCTTTTTAAGAGATTCTCTGTTCACCACCTGCAAAAATAAAAAATGGAAAATATACCTTTAGTGACATAGAGATATTTGAATATCTTGAAGCAGTAACTTACAGTTGTGATCCTGCACCTGGACCAGATGAATATTCACTTGTTGGAGAGAGCCTGCTTTATTGTGCTGGCAGTGGGGTATGGAGTAGTGCCCCTCCTGAATGTAAAGGTAATAATCTTCCACTTTATTTCCTTCTTCATTTGTGCACAGTGTGGAAACACTTTGTAAGTAGTTTTCCTTACAAGTAAGCAAAATAGGTATATGTGCTTCCTCCTTCTGTAAAATTGGTTTCTAATTTAATATAGGTAAAGTTTGAGTCAAAATATATAGTTCTAGTTGTGGAGTTCTCTGTCTGTTACCCCGATGTGTTCTTGGCATTTAATTTTGTATGTTATGAATTACTGTGTATATACATGAGTTAGGATTTTTTTGCTTGAAAGAATCAAAAAACCCAACACACAGTGACTTAAAAATAAGAAAGTTTAATCTTTTATTACAAGAAATTTAAGAGTTCTGGCTACAGGCAATTGTAGAGTAGATTGTGACTTCGTAATCTTCTCACTGATAAGAATTATTAACTCTAGAAAAAATATATTTTTAAAACCCCAAATGTTTAAGGCACTGGATAGTGACCAAAAGCATGCAGGCCCTGGAGGGGCTTTGCCCCTTGAAAGAAAAGAACTACCAAATAACAGCAAAATATATACTCTTTTTCAAGTGCACATGGAACATTCTCTAAAGTAGAGCATATTCTAGGCAATAAGACGCGGTTTTTTTTTGTTTTTTTTTTTTTTTTTGTCTTTTTCCGTGTCCGGCAACGGATCGCAACCCTCAGTGTCGCCCCCGTACCGGACCGGGACCGGCAACGGGATCGCAACCCTCGGCGTTGCCCCC